AACAGCAGCGCAGTCATGCTTACCACAGGATGGCAGGCTTGAACGGTGCTGCTGGCGATGCTTTGCCGAGTCGCCGAAGTGCGATTGAAGCAGACGCACGCTGTTACAGTAATAGTACTTGGAATGTCTTGGAACATATTGGAATAGTGGTGGCAATCGTAATCGAAAAGTGAAATAGTAGATTAAGAACAAAGTGATAACCAGGATGTCATGTCGCCCCAGTGCTGCCACGGCTGCGGAAGGACTGTGTCATGCAGCTGTTGGCGGTTGATGGCACCAAGCGTCATCAACCAATGTACTTATTGCTTGACATCCCATACGGTGTATGGCAGAAGCAATGTTGAGGTCGTCAAGTTTCGCTTGCAGCATGCCGCTTTAAAGCCCTGCATGGATTGCATGGATAGCGAAGCGCTGCTCCCTAGACCCTATACCCTAAGCACACAAAGTCCTCCAACTTTGCAGTGTTCTCCTCCCGACTCAAAAGGTCATAGCCTCGGCTGCATGCGCCAAGCATTGAGAACCAACGGCCTGCCCAACTCTTATTCTAGGGAGATATACTAGATTTAGGGTTTAGAGGTTTAGGGTTTAAGGGGATATTTTGTGGGATAGTACTCCAATAAAGGAGAGACGAATGGAAAAGAGCAATGAAATGAAACGGAAAGACCTCAAATGTTCTTGGCAGGCATTTATTCCAGCACTTTCAGGACTACACTGACTGACCAAAAGGAGCCCACCCGTTTAGTGTTCCCTTGGTATTCTGAAGAAAAAGGGAGCCCCAGCAGCAACTGGAGGCCCATTCGCTTGCAGGAGGGTGCAAAGGGGAGATGCGGCAGCGTTTATTGGGATTGCACAGCGCGTGCTTAGGGGTAAGAAAAGAGTTTTTGAGGGTTTTTTTTTACAAGGTGTTGTAATTCAGTCCCCCTTAAGTAGATAGAATATGGCTTTGGGTATCCTATAATAAGGTCCCCATATACCCCACATTCTATCTACTTAAGGGGGACTATATCCCCTGAAATTGGGTGGCTTTTACACATTTCTTCGTGGGGCTAGGAACGTATTCACGCACGAGATCATAAGAGCGGTGTGCGGCGCGTGTTCACGTCCAAAGTTGAGTTCTGGAAAGCTGGGGGAGTTGAAGGCGATGGTTCCTGCTTTGTTGGTTTTGACCTCAAAGCGCGGTTCAGGGTTTAGGGTATAAGGTGTTCATGTGGCGAACCGGGTGATATGGTTTTCTAAATGTCACGCCAGTTTGTAAGAACAAAACCTGGTCGCAAGAATGTGAACACGAACTGGTAAGCGACCTTTCTCAGCCGGAGTTTCCAACTCTCAGTATCCCCAAAAACATCATAGTATCATTGATTAGTATCCCAAAAGGGTGCATCGCTTTGTGAAAGCCCAAAGTCGGTGGGTAGTCCTCCGAAGCACTGAGAGTGGCGCCGTCGTTATTGTAGATCTCCAGGTAGGAGATGTACATGCCTTGTGCTTTGGCTGGGGTGAACAATTTTCAGGGGTAGGATGCTTTGGAACAAGAGGCCGTTAGCTGAATGACTCAGTCTTTCAGCGGGCCCTTTCAAGTGCACAACTTTTGTACCACTTTCTTCCTGAGTGAACCTAATCTGAAAGCTCCACGCCGTATCATTCCTTGGCCTCCGGGAATTGACAGGACCGGATAAAAGAAAAACAAAAACTACATCCTGAAATACAGCAGGAATCCTATAGCTCTTATTTATACCTTTTTCTGATCTAGTGATTCCCAATTTCTTTTCTAACAATCATATTAAACTCTATCTAATCAGCAAGTAAGGCCTCCAAGCCCTACATCGCGCTGGTGCGAAGCTCCGGGCTAAGATCCCAGCGGTATGTCGCGTCTCGTCGGTTCTTAAACTCCTCCAGACAAGTGAGACGTCCTCATATGAGCTATACAGTAAACTTTTTCAAAGAATGTTTTATAAGTGAATGTATACGGTGTAGGGTTGAGGGTCTAAACTCCTGAAAGGGGTGTTTTATATGAGCTTTAGTCTTAACGCCTAGTATCCCCCTTAACATCCACTATAGTAATCCTCTATATGATCCCTTATGTAACCTCCTTGAAGGAGTTTAGTTTACGGCTCATATTGAGGGTTCCTCTGCTCTGCTTTGAACTTCAAGTTCATGAAGAGGAATAAGGAATTTGGCGTAAAACTTGCTTCCAGCTTCTAGCTGTGGCTCTAGCTACGCCGAATAAGCAAGTAGTTTGTTGTTCATAACCGTTGTTCTTCTTATTTATGTTAGTATCACTGCTACTATTAATGCCATAATTACTATCCTTATTATTACTGTTATAATCGTGTATACACCCCGTTGTCAGGATCCTGAGTGTGGCGATCCATATTCCCCTCCCCTCGTAAGACAAAGGCCTTCAGCCCCGCCCTGACATGGCCAGCCAGGACCAGCACCGGCAACCCTAAACACAAAACCCTAAACCCCTAGACCATAAACCCCTAAACCCCTAAAGATTTAACCCAAACCCCCTAAACCATAAACCCTAAACCATAACCCTGAACTAAACAATAAACCCTAAACCAAACCCTAAAGCATAAACCCAAAAACTTAAGCATGACATGTTCCATCACCATGGCCCTGCCACATCCTTGAAGTCAACGCCAAATACAGACCCTAAAATACCATAATCCTTGTTTTGGCAGCCCCCAGAAGGAACCCCCCTAATTTTGGGAACTCTAAACCCCAAACAGTAGTTTCCATTTTCTTTTCCATTATCCCTATATAACCCCTATAAACCCTATATTATCCCTATAAGCCTAGTTCTGAACTTTAGGCAGTTCCAGATTAAGCCTTGCAGTTGGGTTTCTGCGGAAACCGCAGCAGTTGAAATGCGTGGGGCCAAGAACCTTCTGCAAGAACACTGCGGCACCAGTCACTTTCTGAAGTTACAAACCCAAACCTACTGTGCCGGCTAGGTCATGCATCCTACTTTCCGCCGCCCCATTTTGGGGCTGAGAGAGGCTTAAGAATTGAATCATCATTGCCCTGAGTCTCCAAGGCGGGTGAAGTTTCAGCATGCAAAGCCTCAAGCTTGGACTATGCTGCAATTCCAATGGAGATGGTGCTTTCCATAAGTACGGGAAGGGGAACCATAATATCGACCCCAAGAATTTTAACAAAACCCATGACTTCAGAAACTCCCCCCTTGTTTGGACCGTCCAGAACTGGGACAACACCCTAGTCCTAAAGTCATTCCAATATCGAGCTCTTGCACTCGCATCCCAACATAAAGCCCGACTGAGTACTTTCAGCCAGAAGCGTACCCGCCCGAGCAAAGACATGTTGCAAAGTCTGAACCTTAAACCCTAAAACCCTAAACCCCAAAACCCTAAAACCCTCAAATTCAAAACCCTAAAGCCCTAAATCCTAAAACCCCCAAACCCGAAAAACCTAAACCTTGAAACACTAAAATCCTAAAACCTAAAAACCTAAACCCTAAAACCCCAAAACCCTAGAAACCCTAAAATCCTAAAACCCTAAAGCATTTCGTCTTGTCGTTGCTCGCGAAGCCTTGGAGCTGCTTTAAGCCGCTTCTTCAAACTCTTAGGACAAACATTGGGGACTGCCCTCACCCAGTAACAGTCGATATTAGGGGTCCTATTACGGGCTATATAGAACCATATTAGAAATTAATGTCCAACTGTTACTGAGGGGGGGCAGTACCCAAGATGAACAAGGCTATATAGTCCCCCTTAAGTAGATACAATAAGGTTTTTAGGGTTTAGGGGTTTTAGGGTTTCTGGGTTTTAGGGTTTAGGGTGTTAGGGTTTAGGGTTTTAGGGTTTAGGGTTATAATCCCCCTCAAGTGGATAGAATATGGGCTTATATAGGGATAATGGAAAAAGAAAATGGAAACTACTACTTCGGGTTTAGGGTATAGTCCCCCTTAAGTAGATAGAATATGGCTTTGGGTATATTATAATAAGATGCCCATATCCCCCATATTCTATCTACTTAAGGGAGGCTATAGCCCTCAACGCAGCCTCGAACAGGTACGAGATAGTGCGGGGGATGAGGCCCCTGTCTTCATATCTGTCAGCGCCTTGGCATCCCGTCTGGAACGTCATCAGGGAAGGGGTTTCCGGATTCTGGCCTTTGAGTATATAGGACAAGATCAATAGGCTCAAATTCAGAAGCAATGTGAGGTTTGTCAAAGCGTCAGAAGGCACCACCAAAACAGATCTAAATTCACCAGCAAGCATGGGTCGGGAACGTACATTCGAGAAGATAGTTCCTACATGTTCCCACCCCAAATTCTGAACCCTCCTTTCCCAAAAGGTTTCAGGCGTACCTTGGAGTACTCATGCCGTGCCTGCCTTAGGAAGACCATCCTAAATCTACCCTGGAGGTCTCGCAAAATTTGATCTTAGCTGGTTTTGGTGGAGGGCTATAAGACTAAAAAGCATATGTTACTTGTGTGATAACCTTAGGATCAGGTAGGTGGGCAGGGATTACGGTTTTTTCTGGCAGCACTCGCTTAAAGTGGAGGCTTAACCAGTGGCGACCAGCTAAGGCAGCACAGAGAGCGCGACTCTGTACACCCGGCAGGACATTCAGAACTGGCGCCGTTGCAGAAAATGATAGTGAGGAGGAGGGCTGGGTTTCAAGGGCCATGCCAAAACTCTCCGCACATTCAAAACCTCAAAACGCGGACAGCCATGAAACCTGAATACCTGCCCGTCACCAACCCCGGGCCCCGCTCCAACGCAGATCGGTGCAACGGCGGAAACAATGCCAGAGCTGTCATAGAAAGATTTCAGAACAGATTGCCTAGGTGGGTGAACATACTGGGTTGCTGAAAAAGAACAAGATTTAACTTACAAATGTTATGGGTCTATACGCAACAATATCGGTTCCTTAACGTTGTATTCTAAATTCAACTCCTTACAACTTACAGCAACCCGATATGTGGCGCAGGTGGCCGTGGCATCCTCAATCCATGGGCCGTTCGCTGGCCGTTACTTTTTGGAGGGGCGCTTCCGGACAGCCGACAAGGCGGCCTTCCTTGTCCTGGGATGCACGACGACCCGTCAGGCCAAACAAGTGTGCATCTTTGTTAGAGTGGGGTTATTACAGGGACCCAAGACTTGTGAAGTGTACCTCCACAACTACTAAAAAGGCAGGCAGTAATAAGAACTTATAAGAACCTGCGTAGTACTGAAGTATTGGGCCCTTTCATAGCAAGAGCAGCCTAAAAGGATTAACAGGCAACAAACTGGCTGATCTAGTCTCTCATCGTCTTTCAGCGCCAAATGCTGAACTCCAAGCCCCTCCCCAGTGCGCCGCTTCTTGTTCTCAGACTGCACGGCTGACACGATATTATCCTGGGCTGCTATTTGGGTGGTTCCCAAAATTAGGGTCCCATTCTGGTACCCTTAAATATTAGGTGCCGTGATATTCTCTATAATCAAAAGGGCCCCTAATTCTGAGAACAACCCGTTTAGGCACTTAAGCTACGTGGCCACAGTAGGGTTGTTCAACAACTCATGCGTTTTCCTCATGGTATTAACTGAAATAAGTTCGTCACCCAATATATAACCCCTGTCTGTACTCACTTTCTTGTCATTCTCTGTTTTGCTTTCCGCTTTCCATTTGATTCTACCTTATCCCTAACCCTATCCCCAAATATCCCCTTTAGCCCCCTTTAAAGGGACCTTCAACCCAGTGTCCATGTGGGAAGTGCCTGCGCGGCGCAGTGCTGGCGCCTTTGCTGTGGCTTTGGGTGCCTTGGTGATCTGTTGTCGCTTCTGGCAAGCGTACACACTTCGGCCTCCCATACCTCAGCCAGGGTAGTTAACAGTGTAAAGGATTTAGGACTTATGGGCTAGAAGGGGACCCTAAACCCTAAACCCTATACCCTAGAAAATCTTTGTTTGTTGCGCAAAGATGCTAAACTTCTTGACCTTGCCTCCACAGGCTGACTTGGTCTTGCCATAGCAGAAAGAACTTGGCTTGGAGCCCCATATGGATCCGCTCTTGAAACCTGCCTGCATATGCTTTATGGCCTATGTGTAGGGTTTACGGCCTAGGGTGTATAGTTTGGGGCGTAGGGACAATTACATACTTTATGTATAAACATGAGCTTACGGGGTTTCAAGCTGAGAGGTTGAGGTTTTATGGCCGTGGAGAGTATGGTTGCGTACCTGCAGGCTTCCCAATCTTAGGGCTCCTTCTTTCAAAAACGCATCTGATGGTGGTGGATACGGGTGGAATACTAATCACGAAAACCTTATCCCCTAAACCTTACTGCCTACACTAAACCCTAAACTCCTTAAACCTAACACCCCAATCCCTTGAGATCCCTTGAGCACCAACCTGCATCTGCTTCACAGCTGTGTTCCAGATCTTCAGAACCTCAGCCCTTGGCAGCGTGTTCGCCAGCTGCTTTGGATGAACGCCTGCCTCCGAAGAGAAGGGGCTTCTCAAATAGAAGCCTTTGCGTGCCCTGTTCATATATAGGAAGCATAGGAGCATTGCAGTGAATGCTGAGGAAGTATTAAGGTGTCATGTAGACCAACTGCCTGATGCCCAGTTTTTAATTCCTGCGCTGGCTTGGAATACCTTTCTGATATGCCCGGAACCCTCACTGCTATATGCGACGGCATGAGCCACAAACCCATGTCCCTCCCCCCCCTTCCTGCCTCATACAAGATCTCACTACGATAGATGTTTCCCACGCCCGCGGAAATGGACTGGTCCATCAGGACAGTACCAATGGGTTTCTTCGCCTTCGAATGAAAGCAGTTTGAACGTGGAACTGTAACATCTGGAAAGAAGGGTAGAGCCGCACCAGAAGGCTAAGCGTAACGACCACCACCAGGACCAACGATACCGTTCGGAAGTCGTTGCATGGCTTGCCCCAAAGGGTCCAGCCATGTACTTGGGATTTTGGTGCTACTAGCTGTAGTACAGGTTTTGAGTAAGTACATGATGATTAAGGACTTGGACCCTTACAGTCCCCCTTATGTAGATAGAATATGGGGTATATGGGGATCTTATTATAATATACCCAAAGCCATATTCTATCTACTTAAGGGTGACTATGTGCTTTTGCAGTAGAATCCTGGGCCTTGGTACGTGGGGCTGATCGTCTTCACGTTTACTTCCTCGTGGTTTTGGGTTTAGGGTTTAGGGTGAATCTGGGCAATTCCTTTCAGGGACCCGCTGCCATGAAAAGCTTTCTGTGGGCTGAAGCATGAGAACTTGTGTCTCTGAGGCCATGCAGCCCCTAATCCCCTCTCCTAATATGCACCCTGATACTGAAGATTTCCTCCACCATATATACCAGTACTATAGTGGGGTCTTTTGCTGTCAGGGTGGTGCGGGCTGTACTATGCATCAATTCAGGGACGGAATGTCTCTCAGGAATGCGGAAGAAGCACTTACTTAGATCTTGTCTCTATCACCAACCCTAAACCCTCAACCCTAAACCCCAACCTTTCTCTGCCAGACCTTATGGGCGGGACTTCGTAACCGGCTGGCAAATCAATGGGCAGGACTGGGCAGCAAAAATGGCTCTATACCCAAAATGATGATGATGCTGATGAAACCTATTCAGAAGTCATACGAGCTACAGTCTAAACAAACTCCTAGTATCCACCCCTATTATACTCCCCTATATAATCCGCTGTAGAACCTCATTTAAGGAGCTTAAAAATCCTAAACCCTAGACCCTATATAATCCACTCTATAGCCTCCTTTACTCTAAACCCCAAACCCTAAACCCTATATAATCCCCTAAATAACCCCTACGAAGGCATCGCCTTAGCACACGCATCGGCGAAGCATTCTGGATCTGCATCTTCCCGCAGAGGATCGGCGCCCAGCTTTGCTACAAGCCTAGGCTGCTGTTAAAGAACTTTAAAGTCAGTTACCGTATTAGGGTTTTAGGGGGGAGCATGGGTATATTGTAAATAATAGGGATTCCCGGTCACAGTAATTAACTAAACTTTAAGTTCCTCAACAGCAACCCAGAAGCTTGTTATACAGGTCATCCGGCTTCCCATGCTTCACAGTCATCCTTGGAAAGCTTAAAGTGAACTATAATCTGTACTCCAAAAAGGTTTATAGAGGGGATTATATAGGGGAGTACTATGGGGCTATTAACGGGGAAACTAGCAGTTTAGATTATGGCTCATATAGGGTTACATAGGGCTTATGCACGCAACTACATGGGAGTTCCAAAAAATTAGGGGCCGCTTTGGGGGAGTCCTCATTGTAAGGAGTATCGTGCTTTGGGGTCTTGATTTGGCCCCCCCTGTTTATGGCAACCGCCGCATAGGGTCAGAAGGCGTTGGCAACCATGATCGCCAGTTGAAATTGACGAGCAGAACTTGAAAACTCGTTCCCAATCCAACCCCTAAACCCTAAACCCAGATCCTAAACCCTAAGCCCTAAACCAGCCCAAGCATCGCGGATAGGTGAGCAACCAACTTAGTTCCTGATTGGAGAGGGCAGCTTTGGGGATAACCATCGCAACTTGAACTGCTCTCACGGTTTAGGGCTTAGGGTTTAGGGCACTCAGGACCCCTACTAAGGGTTAATGGAAAAGAAAATGGAAACTATTATACTATAGGGTTCTATAGGGATTACATAGGAGTTTAGTGTTTAGGGCACTTAGCCCTACTAAGGGTGAACCTTAGGTACCTATAACAGGGGTATAAGGCAATCCCAAAGACCTAAGGGTCTAAGCTCCAACCTAAGTCGCAAGGAGTGCAATCCACAGAAAACCCTTTAAGTCCCATATTGGCTGAGCTTTGCGGCTCATAGCTCCATGTTACTTTTCAGTTTTATTCTCCATGAAAATGGAATATGCTTATGATAATCCCCTTGCAAGACAGAAGCACCAGCTCTCTTCAGCACACACATCAATATCACCTTCCTTGTTGCAAAGAACTCCAACCACCAATTATGAACAATGCCGCTTTAGCATACTCAAGCCAATTGCGAATACTTCCGATTGAGGGGGAAAGGGTCTTCATTTTTAGGTCCATTGCTTTTGGCGGAAGGAGGTTGCGTCAAAAACTGGCGTGACGCAAAAGCACAAAATGAAGTTCAGCACGCCATAGAGAAGCATCTTTATTACATGAGTCCTAGCCATACGCTCTAAACTCTAAACCCTAAGCCCAACCTCAAACCCTGATATGTCCACGTACCCTAACCTCTAAGCCCTACATGGTCCTGCATCCACAGTCTCCAGCCGCAGGCGGATGTTCTTGGTAAGCTCAGGCTCCTGCAAAGAGTCTTACGGTGGATGGACAAAATCCTGCATGACATTGTATACCTCAGCCCGCACAATTATGGTAGCATAGCACGTTTGGATTCATGCTGGATTTGGTCCAGCAAGGGCGTGTCTGGATTGCTCGTGAGTAACGTAGATTAAGTTACGAAGATTAAGTTACGACAGCAGTGTAGGTATGCGGTGAATAATGAAGGTTTCCCCATAGTACGGGCTCAGTTTAACGTGCTTAGTGCAGTTTTGCACGGATACCTCCTGCTCCTAGCAAACATGATGAAATCTGAGTGACATGAACGAAGATCTTCTGACACGAATGATGCCACACATGCTGGTGGTGATGATAGCTGCACTATAGTTCTTCTCGTGGTAGTAGGTGGTGATTGAGGGGTGGTAGTCATTATTGCGGTGGTTATCATTCTTACAATAGCACTGACTGTAGTAGTCGTCGTCATGGTCGTGGTCGTCAT